TATTGTCCTGGAACAAGCCATATTTATAGGTGTTTTGTTGGCCAAGTGAAAAACATCCCCCTTTTTAAAATGCAGGCATCATTAGTGTGAAGATGATGGAATCGCTGTGAATGAGAGGAGTTTTCCTGCAACATACAGGTGCCTGTAGTAAGACTTCTTCTTGGTTGTGACTTATTTGAGAGTTTTGAGTCATTGTTGTCACTTCACCATCTCACTCTGTTATTCATTTTTTAAAGGCTGTATAAAGTTACACTGTGCAAAAGTCTTGTGCCATCTCTTGTTCTTTGTGATCTTTTAAAGTACTGTTAGATGAAAATTCCTCAGGTTTTCTGAAGGTCTTTCAAAGTTTTTCTTCAGACTTAGACAGTTTTTACCATTTTTATTCTGTTCAATAACTGACTCTTAAAATATACCATACATATATATAATGTTGCTGTCGTGCTGCTGTTGTCTGGAGTATTGTTTTGTACTATTAGTGCTTAGTATATTCTTAGTTTGTGTATTTCTTAGTTCATATCTTAGATCTTATTACTGTTTTTCTTTACAAATTGTATTTTTGTTGGATGTAACTGGGACCCCGTATACATAGTTTCGTTCCACCTTATATACCACATGTGGTGTGAATGACAATAAAGATTTAAATAATGAAATAAAAAATATAAATATATATAATTAACCTTTATTTAACTAGGCAAATCCCACTGAGATCACAGATCTCTTTTGCAAGGGAGGCCTGAAGGCAGCCTAACATGCATGTTTTGATCTGTGGGAAGAGACCGGAGTACCCAGAGAAAACTCATGCAAGCACGAAAAGAACATGCAAACTCCACACAGAAAGACCCCAGTTCCAACTGGGGATTGAACCCAGGACCTTCTTGCTGTGAGGCAACAGTGCTTACCACTGAGCCATCGTGCTGCATGTATATGTTGTTTATTTAGTCAATGAATTTTGTGAGCCACATGTTGTGTCGTAATGTTCCCAGTGTATGTGTTTAATTGAGGATTTTTATGATTAAATTGATCTGTCATTTACTTGATGCAAAACAACAATAACTATATAAATGTATTAACAACAAGTGTTCTTCAAGCTCCTGGAAATACTGGAACAATTGTAATGATTGCCCTTTATCAATTTTTTTTATTAAGCTGTGCTTGTTTAGTTTGTTTTAAAATAAAAACTGGTGTGTCTGAAAAAGTTGTTAACAACAACAACAGCAGTAATAATAATTATTATATTAATAATATTAATAATAATAAAAATAATAAACTTTCACCTATGAATCAGTAAGACAAAATAAACCACCTGTTGAGTCAGTGTTGTGAACACATCACAACTTAACAAAAAAGAACTCTAAAATTGATCTTTAGTCACTTTATTATTATCAGTTTGTCACCAAAAAAAAAAAAAAAAAAAAAAAAAAA